AAATTCTATCAGTTTTTTATTTTCAAAGTGAAAGAGTGGCCATTACATTGCACAACCCTAAAACTATCAACACGTCTTCTAAATTCAAACCTATTCAAATTCTTGATGTAAGAATGACCTAAGCGCGCAGTCACGCGATATTCCGACTGCAACGTGATTGCAAAATAGCAGTTGGAAAGTAGCATCACAGTGATTGCATTACAACTACTGACCATTAGTATAACTGGCATGCAGTCACTGCACAACGACTTCATCGCTATTGCACCTCAGGTGTTGACAGTAGCCGTGCAACCGTTGCATCGCGACTGCACGCCGACTGCATCCTTACTAGCAGTAGAGCTGCATGTTTAGTATCAGTTAGGCTCCTTGTGAAAGTGTTCGTCCAGGGAATGACTTACCTATTTCTGCCGCCAAGCCGCATGGACCTTGTCAACTTATGCCTCAAGGTGACCGACGCTATGACACTGCAACTGCTATGGACACGCATGTTGCTTACCACTAGGTGGATACTTCTACATCCCTACACTTGGTATCTTAAAAAAAGTAACTCCCTTGCGACTACATTGGAAGTCAGCTCGTAGTTTTGTTTTATTTTTCTTTTTTTTTTCCTGTTACAACCCAGTGACTGCCGCGACCTCACTGACCCAAGTGACGACGCATCTTGAATATTAACCATGAAAGAGCACTGAAAGGTTAATGTGAGGTTGGCTTGGCTGAACAACAGTGTCACCGCAGATTAGTATTTATTTTATATAATATTTTCTTTCTTTTATTCGCTACAGACAAGTTCAACTTTAATTAGTACCTTAAATCTCAAATTTAAAAATAAGAACTATCTCATTACCTTGAAGCCCAAGTTCTATTAAATGGTTGACAAGGCAGATGTTAACCTTCGTATCGTAATGTTGCAAGGTTTTAAACAATTGTTTTTTCACTATATTAAGTTTCTACTACAGTTGAGGCATATTGTTATGTAAGTCACCAATAGTGGCACCATTATATAAGCACAAAAGTATCGTACCTAGCCTTAAAATTCTAAATAACTTTTACAAAACTTAAAAATATGGCCGCCGCCATTTTGTTTTTTCATCGAGAAAATTCCCAAGTTGGAAAATTTTCGCACTTCGTTCTAGTTTGCAGAAACGTATAGTTCTGTCTAACTTTGTTACATAAGGGACGTAAAGACAGTACTACGTTATTCTCAGAATACATTATTTATGTGTTTGAAATAGAAATAGAAAGTATTTTATTTCGTAAAAATCACTATACGGTAAACACACATGTATAAGTACAATATATAATACATGACGATTAAAACCAATGCGAACCATAGCATACCTGATTATAACTGAAGTGGAATAAATGATACCTACGGATAACAAATAAATAATTATACATACACAAATTACAACATAACATAACATAAAAGTTGTAGTACTCAGTAACAAAATAACTACTTGATGACTTTATCATCTTAGTCAGCAGTGACCATGGGACCTGTAGCCCAGTAGTGAGTTAGACATGATTAAATTAAATTAAAATGCTCATTCTTTCAGTGTTGAAGAAAGTTTTTTTTAAGGAAGACAACGTTTTGTATCGTATGAACATTGGTGTACATTGTAGGCGTTATGGAGATCATCTGCTGATTTATTATAATAATTAATACAAAGATCGAACTCATAGCAAAATTTTTCGATCAGTCTGGTGAAGGACCTGGTTCGCGTCCAGCTAGATCGAAGGAGTTTTACTTTGCATTCGATTATAACAAACTAGTGGAGTAATTTCTAACTGTAACGAATACTTCTAACTAATTTCTAAATTGTAACGAATTCTTGTGTGTATATTGGGCACACAAGAATTCGAATAACAGTATTTTGGAAATGAAATTTTATTTTCCGTATCCAATTTGCGTATATTTTTGTTTTTTCAAACAAACCGCGATCATGGGGCCTGTAAAGAGCCCGACATGATTTTTTGTTCGAAAACACAAAATATACGAGTATTAGATCTGAAAAAAAAAAAACAGTTTCATTTGCAATGCGTAATAATTGCGAAAATTAAGAACTCGATTAATAAATAATTAGCATGACAAAATGTGTGCGCTGCACTGTTACGGAGTGAGTCTTTTACATTGTGACATTGATTTTGAGTAGACCCGAAACAGATACTTGGATAATTTCATGGTTTTAAATTGAGGACTAGCTAGACTCGTACAGACAAACAACGAAGTATGTTGTGTGTTTAGAATGAATTTTAAAAATGAACTAGGTAGCCGCAATTGTAAGATTGGCAATAGAGCTGTGACATAGATGTATTTAATTGATGCGTGTAAAAATGTACTTATTAAATATATACATTATTTATTTTATTTTATAATTTTTTTTTATTAAATATATATATTTTAGTAACTTATTTTTGTTCGGAATTTTGCCCAAACACCAAATGAGCAAATACACATTTGGCTCCAATGACTACATCTTTCTATTACACCAATATTCCTTTGGTTTACAAACATTTAGTCCCCACTTAACAATAGGTCTGATGTCGACGTACCTAATAAGTATTCAACGAATTTACTGCGTACCTTTTACATTAGTTTGTCTTTTTTTTATAAAATTAAGTGACGGGACGAGATGTGTGCCTGGTGTTAAACGACACGCCCGTCCATAACAGTTGCAACTCATAGATTTAAATCGCAAATATCTGAGAGATACTGCCACTGCACCTGTCATCTTGAGACGTAAGTTGACAAGTCCCATGCGCCTGTGGCTTCACCAGCTGCTTTACCCAACAAAACCGGAATACAGTAACGCTTGGCGGCAGAAGTAGGTGAAGTGGCAATATCCCCGAACGAACTTTTTCACATAGAGCTCCACTGCTACTAAAATTCGCCCTCCACCACATTGTATTTGTGACGTCATTTCCGTATTTTGTTATATCGTAAGTCATTAAGGTCACTTTTCCTCACAAAATTGTATTTGCTTAAAATTAAGTCATAAAACCAGCAATATAAGCACTGTTTAAAAATCCCCTTCCGCAGTAAACAGTGCTGCCAACAATTTAAAAGATCATTTATCACAGTTAGTAGTTGGCGCAAGTTTTATAATGGTTTGAATGTGATTTTGACGGCGAGCTTTTAACTATTTTTTGTGCACTTAACTTTGACATGAAATTAAATTTACAACGAACCATTAAAAATATAGTGATTTACTGTTTTTCGCGTGATTTTGTTTACTATAGTACAAATTTTGAGACATAAACATGCATCACTAAAGTAAAAATTATTATTTAAAGAAAGAACACAACAATTTTGCCGTTTATGGACCATGCAAGTCTTTATTTGGCCCGAAAACTAAATACAAAAATCTAGTTCTGTCCCCTGTTCTAAAGTAGGAGATGTCATAAAAAACCATAATTCTGTTTTAAAATATTGAAATTGTTTATTGTAATTTCAGTTATGCGTCGTTAGGGTAAGTTCCGATAAGTTGAACACGTTAACCACGGAAGAAATGTGGTCTGTGACGTTAACTGTTTTTGAAAGAGAATTTTGTGCCCTATCTATTTCTATTTGAAACGGATATTTGACCATTTGTCACTTTTAGTAAGTGGACGGCAGACTTGTGGAAATTACTCTAACAAATACTAGGATTCATAGAGCTCCATTGAATAAACATTTAAACAGAAAAAAAAAAAACAGTTTATTACCATACTGTTCCCGTAATATTCTGATATATTTACATAAGCTATATAAAACATAGGGTGTTTGCACATCGACGCGTGGTGGGGTTATATTATAGCCCTTGTTTTTTTAGCTTGTTTGCTAAAGACGCATCTACATGCGGCCCGGCCTACGCAAACAGCCAATGTAAACAGGCCCTTATGAACGCATTCATCGGTCGCTTTTATTAAAACCCTTGTCCAATTTCAGTGGATTTTATTCAAATTGTTTAACTCGAACTGATTGGGCCGTATTTTTGTTAAACTAAATTTTGACAAAATTTTAAAGTTTTAACAATTCGATAGCCGAGCGGTTTGCATTGTATGGTAGATGACGAGGTTTTGGGTTCAATTTTATAATACAATAAAAAACATTTTATAATAAAATTCCAGAATATGTACAAAATTTATCAGAAAAAAAGTTCAAAGCTCAGGTTAATAATCTTAGCAAGAGTAGTCCGACCGTAAAACCGACCTTAAAAGTCATCCCTTAGTTTGCCACCCTTAAAGGTGGAATATTTTCTTAAAATTTAAATGTGACCACTACTGAGGTACCCTCTTTCCATCAAAATAATAATCATTAAAATCGGTTCACAAAGAGTTATCGCGTAACATACAAACAAAAAAAAGATACAGACGAATTGAGAACCTCCTCCTTTTTTTAGTCGGTAAAAAATGTAGTAATAAGAAAAGCTTATTATGAAATGAATAATTATAGATGGTTAGAACTCATGGTGTACTTCCAGCTATTAAGTGTTTCTGATGACACAAAAAAAAACATTATTTTCAGATGAATTTGGCCTACTAAAAAGTAGTGGTTTTTGGTGGATAATTTGAAGGTTGGAGAATTTGAAAGATATTTTATTTAAGTCAAAAGAAAACATTTCGGGACACGAATTTTTCTAAATCAATTCTGGACTGGATGTTAAAAGTTATAAGCCACAGAATGTCATTGCTCTGGTTCTGATAGTAGCGGGAACAATCTAATTGAACCTAGATAATCGGTGTGGTGATCTGGTACATTATTATTATATTAATTCCCAGAAGAAAAAAGTACTGACAAAAGAAATGAGACCACAAGTTACTCCCTGCTTTTTATTAAGGTGTGTTAAAGCAATAATGCAGTTAGAAACCGTAAATACCAAAAAGCGAGTACAAACAACTGTTAAAAATTTAAATATATAGGTAGTTATTGCAATTTGTTAATGGTTAACGAATGAGGCACAAAATATTGATCGATACAAGCCACCTTACCGGTGAAAACTGGAGTTTATATTTTTTACCTGGATACGTGCCTCAGGCAATCCAATCTTTTCGGCCAGTCGTTCCCTCGCAAAAACATCCGGGTAGTGTGTTCTCTCGAATTCTGTGGACAAACATTACTAAATTAAATTTTGAAATTTGAAGTTCGAATACGAATAGACATTTCTTTACAATGATATTATACTTGTAAACATTTTATGCTTACTGTTTCCTAATTTGATTTTGCTTTACTTGCGAGGAATGAAGTAGTTGGCTTTGCAATTGTTATCGTTGAGTCTATTCAATAAAACATTCATATTTTATTTCTTATTAAAATTTGTACTCGAAAAACAATAATAAACAACATTAAACTAATACAGTTTATTGTTGTTTGAATACAACAAACAAACAAAAACTAAGATTAGCACAGCGGTAATTGGTCTCGCTGCCACCGAGCGAGAGTAGAGCAAACACAAGGGACAATATTTATTTATTTGATAATAACTGTTCAGTAAACATTGTAGGGGCATTCGGAAATCGGTTTATGAAGACTCTTGGGCCCTCTTTGGATGACTATTTGACGTCCTTTGCTTTGAGTGAAATGGTAGTGAAAAATATTGGCGTTATTACGGCCAAAAAATACTATTACACACAATAAAAAAAGAGTTTATTTTTAAAATAAATTTAACTAATTTCAAAGGACTAAAGTTTAAAATGTTACCGATGTCGAGCGACTTAATGAAGTACTTATATTTTCGTATTCTGTTTGTTATCGGTTATAAAATATTGTTATAATTGATAATAGGTAATGTTATGTGCACACATCATCCCCGGTTTTTTATCGATCGAAACCGAGATATAGTTTTATTACGTTTTTAATTTCCTTTTTTGTATTTGTTTGTAATTTTTGTACTATATTTTCTGGTAACTTATTCAATACTTTGGAGATGATGTATGTCCAAATTCATCTACCATAACATTGTTATATTTCAGAACTTTGAATATAGGATCTTTAGGTAATATGCGCCGTTTTGAAACCCTCGTTTTTCCTTTATAATTATTTATTTTTATAATAATTTCTATATAATGGTTTTGTAAAGTAGACATTTGTTTTGAATACTAGGAAACCTTTTCTTTTCTCTATTTTAGACTTCGTTCAAGGCCTTCTCTCAGCAAAAAAACGTAAATAATAATAAAACATTCAGGTTGGTACAATACTTCGCATAACCAGAATTTTTACAACTGAAATTGAAAGATAAATCTTAACATTTGTAAAGTAAGTTTTACTAGAGTACCTTTCTCAAGACTGTCTATCTGGTCGTTAGTGAACGATGTCCGGTTCCGCTGCAGCTTCCGTTTGAGTCGCAGCCGCATCTGCGAGTCTTCGTCGCCAGACGACGCGTGCTCACTGTTCCCGTCCGATCCCGCTTCTGATTGTAGCTGATCTGTTAACGACAAATTTTATAAGAAAAACAGTCTGAAAAGAAATTTGCATTATAGGTACAAAAGTATGAATTTTACGTTGATGCTTTTTCAATCTCTATCATTAGGGTGCATGAAAGGAGAATGACAAACGAATCGTATTCCCAGTGTGTCTGACACACCCTTGGCAATACCCAGAGAGAACCCTGACGCTGATTGGCAATTTGTTTATGATACCACATGATGGAATGTATAACGTTACAGTGCCACTCAGAGCTTTAAATCGCAAAGATCTGAGGGGCACTGCTACTGCACCTGTCACCATGAGAAGTAGAAGGTAGGTGGTAGGGTAGCAGTACATTACTGAATGAACTCTTTCATAAGGACCTATATTGTTACTAAAATCTTTTCTTCACGATGACAAACATGTCCCATGCATAGTTCAATATGACGGCTATTAATGACGTGGTCAGCGTGTTAAGTTTGGGGCCGCTATAATATTACAACAGTTGAAGTATTCGAAATACACAATATTACTTCGCCGTTTATATTCCCATAACACACAATGATCATTTATGTGTCTATTTTTTCTACGAAAGTTGAAAGGAACAAATTATAAAGTTCATATCGCAGTCCCTTATTGAGCGCCAAAAATGACTTTAACAGATTCGCTCTTTCGAAATGAAGCTTGATACTTTTAGATCTTTTAACAAAAGCTTTTTAAGAGGCTCTTCATCATATACTATCAACACAAAGCACTTGTACAAAACGGTGCACTCAACTGCTATCAACCAAATGCGTCAGCAGTATTGCACAAAATAACCCCTAGAATTACAGACAAAAATTACATTTCTAACCAGTCATCGTGATCTCTGCCGTGTAACTCATAGTTCGAAAATGGGGGTCGAACAAGGCTGGGGTTGTAAGCTCCCCATGTAAGGGTGATAGCAAAATTAAACGTTGCTCGTAATGTTGTCGACATGCCCTCGGCTAATTGATTAATTTGCTTTATGGTCGGACCACTTGAGTACGGGTTCGATTCCCGATTCGGTAATGGGCGTACGGGTTACTGATTTCGCTGAATAGGAGGACTGTTACGCAATCTGTCACATTTTTCTGATGAACACTGTTTGTGGGCTCGAGACTAATATGCCTAATGGAAATGACCTGTGAGAGTAGCTATTTTATTAAAGATACTCCGTATTTATGCCGTAGCTTCTAGCTTCAGATGTACATTTATGTATACTTATAATTACTCCAGCTTCACTATATTATTTCGTCAATATTATGTCATCTTAATTAATCTAAGAATAGACTGAAAATGACGACGATTTTACGACAGTTTGAGTTGCACAACACTATTTATAACTTTTTAGAATAATATTTTATTATGAAATATTATGATGTCGTATTAAAGACATTTGACTATCGTGGGCGAGTATCAAAAAATAAAACGTTTAGTTTTTTGAACGATCATAATTGATCGACTACAGAGATTATTGAAGTACAAGTTTTTTTCACAAAAACCGATGTGTGTGGCCTCGATAAACGATATCACTTCAAAATTTAAAACTAGAACGCACGATCTCGGCGCGTTTCGTTACACTCGAACATGATTGATGCGCGACATTCGCTCAGCGAAACACGGCGGACTTTCCAATCGGTTGACAATTTTGATTGATCACTCGTCGCCGCCGGTGTGTGCACGCCCTTAGCGCATGACGGCCTCTAATGAGATCGTGTCAGCAAATGAGACATTTTGTTTGCGATATTCCAACATTTTGGAATCGAAGAGACTGAAAGTTTGTTTTTTTACAAATATGTACTTTTGTTGTACACTATACTTTATACAACCTTGTCATCCACATTTCAAATTAAGTTCCTGCTTTGATGTACGTACACTTAAACTGAGATGTACAGAAAAGTCGTCTTTAAGAAAAATATTCAAACAACGAGACAAGAGGGAATCTAGTTCTCAAGAACAAGACCATTAAAATGATTTTTTTTCACCGTAACAATCTCCATTTTCAGTATTTATTATCGTCTCTCGAATAAAGGAATTCATTAAAAAAAATCAATCCTCTTGGCCACAACTCCGCCAATAACGACGTACAAATGATTGAAGCCAAAAAAAAGAAAAACTTCCGAGGAAAGGCCGAGGGCGGGATGAAACACGAAAAATACATAAGAGAAAATAATAGTAGTAAGAAAATAAAAGGAAGGGAATAAAAGTGGGGGCGGTGGAAAAAATTGGAGAAAATAAGGGGACGAAGGAAGGGAAGGAGCGAGATAAAGCGGAATTGGAGTTATCGGGGCGCGCGGGCTGGCCGAAGGTGGGGGCGATTGCCGCGCGATTATGTGAGATCGATACTGTCACTCAACATAGGGCCGCAAGTGGTGAGAGGTTAGGGGATCATACTCTACAACAAACACTGGATAGTTTAAGGTATTAAACCTTTATACTCAAGACGTAGGAATAAGTATAGAACATTTTTTTCCTATTCCTAAAACGAAGCTTGTACGATATAGCCTCGTAGGGCGTTTATGTGATGCTATGTTCCTATGGGGTGGCATATTCTATTAAGAATAAAGCCTCTAATAAATAAAGAAATTAAAAAAAAACGATAGAGCTTACTCAGAATTACTTACTTGCACATATATAGGTTTACTTTAAGTCTGTTTCTATTTATAACACGAACACACCACATACATAATTAGTATCTACATTCTAATTTTATGGTAAGTCTGTCTATCCTTTATTATACACATCGAGTATATAACCAGAAATAGAGACGAAATGTCATTTAATTTATTTAAAAACTATTCTGCCGTATCATTACGGTGACAACTGCGCTCCGATTGGCCAGCCTGAATTCGAAACAATTAAAGGGTGTCAATTGTTTCACTTTAAATCGATCAGTTTAACTGAGTTATTCTATAATCGATGAAAATTGGAAAATTACATATTTAATATTTAATTACCGATGAAATGTGATTCTGTTTGCTTTGTAATTAGATGTTTTGCTGGTTTTCCCACATCGAATGAAACAGCCATTGTTAGAAAGATATTATCTTTATTACAATAAATACAGAATATTTATATTCCAGTTTCCAAATTCCAATGTCAGTTGTTGGCGCTGTACTATTTCAGCTTTCTAAATTGTGATTTCAGCGCAAACGAGGGTTGATATTTAAAAGTCATATAAGGCCCATTTGTCGAACTAGTTTTCAATGATAAATGACCCTTATTTCGTCTTTATTTCTAGTTATATACTCGATGATTATATATAATCAATTCAAATAAACAAGATAGAGCGATGCAAAAATTTTATCGCCATATCTTGTAACTTGTTCGTCACATCTCAAAACACGGCCGCTGCGGCTGGACAAGCCACGATCCGGCTAATTTGTTACGCTTCCGGAAATGAATGCTTTACCCGTGACGTCTTTGTCGGATAAATGTGTGACTCGCCTTATTTTCTGGTTGCGAATAAGGAACAGAAGAAGCCTTTTTAATTTATGGTACTTACTTTATATTATGTAACAACATCAGCCTAAAAAAACATGAGTATGGAACGTAATTTCCTTATTTATTCTACATGAATAACACAAATAAACGTACCACCTCTCAGTAGGTATTTGCCTATATGGACTCGAGGTACACTTTTAAAACATTTTTATTTATATAGCTCAGACCTCAGTCAGTCAGACCAGTACACTACGCTCCAAAGCACAAATTGTTATTGTTAGTCAAAAGGTCGCTACCCTGAAATGAAACTACGCTGGATACATCTGCCGCATGTCAAGCAAGGTGTGGGTAAAAACCGCCACGTGGTGGATCCCACCAAAGGCAAAATGGAGACGTGGAGGACCCAGACGGAGATGGCGTGACGCGTGGCGTGCTCATGGGAGATCTTGGCCTGTAGCTGCGTTGAATCGAGATGAATGGCAAAAGGAAACCCTTGCCCTGGATTGGGATAGTAACGGATGAAATACATAAAGTCGCGCGTGTGTGTAAACGTAGATGATTAGCTACTGAATCGCGTTTGCATCACGTTTGCATCGCTGCTAAAAGTCGCCATGTGTAACCGCTCTTATTGTAAAAGGAAAATTTTGGGCAAAACACGGAAATACGGAAAATCGGCTTTTCCTCATAAAAAAATTTTAATTCAATTTTAATTTTTCAAGTTTTATTGAATGTTTGACTACCATAATATTATTTTTTTTAATTTTACTTCACTAGTTTGTAATTATATTTATATCTGGCGACATTTAACACATTAACTAGATTACAATTAACTATGCGGCCCGAAACACGATTGACTAGCAAACTTCAGTCAAGTAAAGTCAAGAATTTTATGATTTTTTTAAATCACAAAATTCTGCAAAATTTTAATTTTTTTTCTATGTTGATCTACAGAAAAATCAATTTTATTCGATTGTTATTAGAGATAGTTCAATGAAATTTTTCTTCCGTGTACCGTAATTAATACGTCAAGTGACTTTGAACTTATTTTACACTAAGAGGGTATATTTTATTTCTATTCTATCTATTTCATTCATTTCTTCGCGTCTACCTCACACGGTTCAAAGCCTACGCAACGACGATGCCATTTCGCCTTAAAAACAAATGGTATTAGTCTATACGCTCCATTAATTTAATAGAGTTTTAAAAAATGCTTATAGTAAAAAAAATTTGGAAATTCGTTAAAAATTTGTAAAAAAAAACAAAACGAATTAACTAAATACTAGTTCTAAACAATAGATACAAATACTCTCTATATAGCAACAAAAAGCAATAACTTACGAAACAAATCGTTGATACTTTAATCCCGCCCTAATAAAGACATTGTTATTAACTAAGATTCACCGTTTAAGCACGACCTTTGACTTTAATCACATTTTTATGTCCCTCCATTTTACATTGACCTGTATAAGTTACACAAAATGTATAGAAATTGTGGGTCTTACAGAATTCGATAGGTATACTCACGGGAGGGGCCCAATGAATTGGTTTGTCCGT